TGTAGGAAAAATTGTGATCACTATCCCCACAAAAACATTTCCATGAGCTGATTTGCTATTTGAACATCTGGCTGCATCTGGCTGAGAAAGCTTACCATACACAGAAGTCTTTATCAATGCTACTCTTGATTTGCATGATTTGTTCATCCAAAAAGATTTTATATTTGCTTTACATTAAGGAATAAAAATTTCAAGTGCTATTAGAGAATAAAATATGTTGTATTTCTAGTAGTTTAGCAACAAGCCAATTACAGGCTGCTTCCTATATGCGGCTACAACTGTGTTCCACTAGAGGGAGTCCTGCAACAGGCAGACGGAGGAGAAACTGATGTGATTAACTAAAGACCAACGCTGTACAAATTACCCTCAGTTCTTAGTAAAGCATCTCAAAATTGGGGAGTATCAGAATTTAGAGGGCCACAGACACTAAATAAACACCAACAGCATGAGAAAGGGCTATTCTGTATGTCTTCTGGCTGGCCACGTATATGCCAATAGTGATCAATAGAATTATGCTCTAGGAATCTGTCTTGCCTAGACAACTCACTCTTGTATCATGCAGGAGAGATACAAAGTAACAGGAACTAACCACATAAAGCAAGCCTGGGCAACTCACATGTTAGTTACATGCTGTAACCATGTAACTAACCATATGTTAAAACCCTGATAAACAGACACCTTTCTATGCCAGAACAGGTGATTTCTGAGATGGAAAATTGGTATCCTGTTAGAAATTTGAGTTTCCCAAGCCCAAGTGGTGACAGCCAGGGATAGGAAGAATGGATAGGGTCTGGCCTCATGCCTGGGGGGGTCTAGTCCAAGAGCAAACTCATGAGGGCAAAGAAAATACTGAAAACAATGATCCAGCCAGGGCAGGCCATCAACAGACTTTGTTGCAACCCTTCAAGGAAGCAGAACCTTAAAGTAACAAACAGGAGCCCCTGACTTGCAGATGCCTGGGTCTGTTACTACTGACTCACTTAGCACAGATTAAGTTCCCTCCACTGCAGGACTCCATTGTCTGTCCAAAGTTCCTGCAGAAAGGCCCTGGGCTGTTCCTGTGCCAGCCATTCACAGCCACACCCTGGCTTCTCCCACCCTATAGTGAGCAACTCTAAAGGGTTTGTTTGTAGACTTTCTAAGAGCCTGAAAGTGCAAAGGAGGGAGGGACACTAAAAGTCAAATACATAAATAAACCAAAAAGAAAAAATATCAGACTCCAGGGCTATTTCCTTACATCACTGACAGTTAAAAACCATCAATGGGGGTGGGCATTGGGCCTGATGGTTAAGCTGCTGCTCCCTCACCACAGTGCTTGGCTTTGTGTGCCAGCCCCACTCTTGATTCCAGCTTCCTGCTAATGAGCACCCTGGGAGGCAGTGGTGAGGGCTCTAGTACCTGAGCCCCCCCCCCCTCGGGAGACCACACCGAGGTTGCAATCTCAGGTCCTAGCTTTGGTCTAGTGCAGCCTTGGCCCTCGTGAGCATCTGTACCAACAGCAGATGCGAGCTTTGTCCGCTTCTGCTTCTGTGCCTCTTAAATAAAACAAAAACAAAATCCTCCACTGGCTATCCATGAACACATCTGGCCAAACAAGCTGTGCTCAGCCTGAGCCCTGCACACACACTCCTGTTCCGAGACGACCCCACCCCCACCTCTCACTCACCTAGACACCTGTGCAGGGTGTTAAACGAACAAGATCTGTGCATACCTCACCATAAGTGCACAGGGTGTTAAAAGAGCAAGGCTGTGTGGTTTTGTTTGGAATGCCGACTCTGTCATTTAACTACTATAAACAGGTTTGCCTTCCAGTCAAACAGCTCGGAAGTCTAGCCCTGCCTGGGTGCCCACTCCACACACAAGCACCTCTTCTCTACCATCTGTTGAACTCCTACTCACCCGTCAAACCCCAGCTTAAATACCCATCCTGCGAAGTCTTCCTCAGTCCTGTGTCCTACTGACTTCCCTCAAGAGACTCAATTTCCCGCTTTCTTGCGTTCCCGCTGGGCACCTGAGCAAAATCTCCATCGCACTTTAATTGCTCCCTGAGTGTCTTCCTGCTCCATTAAAGAACGTACACCCCAGGGTGGGGTTTTTCTCCACCTAATTACTGCCTACCCCAATCCTGACAGCATCTATAATGGAAGCTTAATTAGCCGTGTTGAATAGATAAATGGGTGATTTCACTCACCTATTACAACCAAAACCTCCAGATGACCTTTCAAGTACTTGTATCGCACCAGCTTTCCTTTGTGCAAAGAACGATTCTGACTTACGGTGAGATCCCACCAGCAATGGGGCTTTTTTCATGTGACTGTTCACAATCATTCACTCATTTATTCAGCTCATCTGTCCTACCTGTCAGGAACACATCAGTGAACAAAATTAAGAAAAATCCCTGCCCCGTGGGCCGGGCCCCCACTTTCCGCAGTTAAGTTCGTCAAGGAAAGGAGTTGCCTTGGCAAACTTATCTGCAGAAGCGAGCAGAACCACATTTTGGGGGCCATGTCCGGGTTGCTGGATCTAACTGCTGTGCACTGGGGATCTGGCACCACGGCTTAAGTAACAATTCGGGACACCTGGATCCCACCTGGCACTGCCTGGTTGGACACAGCTATTCAGTTTCTTCTTCTGCTTCCTGCTCACCAACCAGGGTGGGGGGCTGGGGGGGGGGTGCAGCAGGTGATGGCCCATGTGCCTCGATCCCTGCCACTCACATGGGAGACAGGGATGGAATTTTCAGCTTCACCCTGGGCTACCTCTGGCTGTTTTGAGTGCTCGAGGAGTAAATCAGCAGGTGGAATCGCTGTTTCAAGTAAAAAATGAAAATAAAAAGAAATCATAATGGTTGTGACTTCTCCTTTAGAAGGCTGGTTATCAATAGGAGTTTTAAGGATTTCGTGTGTACAGCTAAACACTTTGACCAGATCCTACCTTGAAGCAGCTTTTCTGGCTTTGTGGTTTCTCACTTAAAAAAAAAAAATCTATTTGAAAGAGCTACAGAGAAAAAGAGGGAGATACAGAGGAAGAGATTTCCATCTGCTGGTTCACTTCCGAAGTGGGAGCAGCAAACAGGGCCGAGACAAGCCGAAGCCAGGAGCCAGGACCTTCCTCCTGGTCTCCCAAGTGGCTGCAGCTGCATTATCAGGGAGCTGGACGGGAAGTGGAGCACCAGGGACTCGAACTGGCGCCCGGAGGTGATGCTCTCCTCAGAGATGGCGGCTTAACGCTGGTCCTGCTTTGTGGTTTCTCAATGTGCCCTATTTCAAAGTCTAGCTATGACCCTAAAACAAGGTGCCAAAGAGGAGGGCTCCGAGGAAACCTGGTCCAGGTGTGTGTCTGCCAGGAGAAGGGAGATGGGCCCCCTTGGGGTTAGTCCCGGCCACACCCCAAACCAGGGAGCCTGGAGAGCATTGCAGGGGCTGGGACACAGAGACCCCACAGCCCCTGCCGCTCTGACCGCCTGCTTCACATCCTGGCTGTTCTGACACCACCCACTGAGCACATCCCACTCTCCCTTTCTGCATGGGTCCCCTGCGTTAGGTTCCTCTCTGCTCATTTCTCCAGTGAAACTACCCCTGTGTCGATGGACCATCTCCAAGGGAGAAGGCAACTGACCTTCTCTGCTGGGGTCACTGAGTCCTGCACTCGTATTAGCCTCTCATCAAGCTCTACCTTGGGGGGCTGTCAGGAATATCGACCCCTCCCTCTTCTCGCACCGGCTCAACACCGGGGAGAGGACATGACGCACAACCTGGGCTGGATCTTCCCGCCAGCTGCACATAAGCACCCCGCCCCCAAAGGGTACTGAATACTAGGAGGCTTCATTTAGAGATCTCTGGAAAACATCGCCAATTTGCTTACCGAACAAATCTTGCTACCCAAAACGATGCTATTCCGACATTCTATCCAACAGAAGCCACTCAGGTGTCCCCAAGCAGACAAGGCTTAGAACAGAATCCTGGTCACCTGGCTCAAGGCAGGGTACCCTGGTGGCCCAGCTAGGGTGGGGTATCAGGGTCTCCTGGCCGCCCACTTTAGAGCAGGGTACCTGCGCACGGGCCCTAAGGACACAGGCGGGTGCAAGGAAGGCGGGGTTAACCTCAGCTTCAGGGCTGGGCCACTCTGGAGACTGTGGCCCGACTTAACATTACACGGAGAGCCTCACTCACACCGCACAAAACGAACTCAAGCCAAGTCAGCCCTAAGGCGCCCAGGCTGCGTTCGAGGATGGTGTCTCGGACGCGGCGCGGGGAACCGGCGGCTTCTTCGCTGCCTTGGAAGCCACGGGGCTAATCAGAAGCGAAGCGTCCCCGGGAAGCACGCGCAGAACGGCCAGGTGGGCAGCGGCCCCGACCCAGGGGAGCCACCCAGCCCCGCTACGGGAAGCAAAAAATATCCTAATGACCGGACACTAAAACAGCATCAGCGGTGCGTCCTGGAAAAAATCACCAGTGAGTGCTTTCTAACAACTTCCGTCCGCCGAGCCCGTGCCAGACGGCCCTGCCCTGGCCGGGCGAGCCGCGGGCGTAAACCCCTCCGTGTCCTAAACGGAGCCACAAGCAGGCGTCCCTCGGGGCGCGGACCCCCAGCGGGAGCCGCCCCCGGACGCACCAGCGAAGCGGACGCGCCCTTTCCCTCGCAGCTCCGCTGGTGGACAGCAGGGCAGGCGGGGCGCACAGCCCGGCCGGGGTGGCGAACGAGGACCCCGCGGGCCCGCAGAGCCCACGGCGCGCGTGGAGGGAGGCTAGGAAAGTTGCAGAGCCACCAGGCACAGCAGCAGCGCCCACGGGGAGGGCGCCACGTCCCGCCCGCCCGGAGAGCAAGGACCAGGGCGGGGAGCAAGGCGGGGGAACCCAGCGCAGCTCCGGGTCCCGGACGGCGGACCCGGAACGACGGCCACGCCAGGCTGGGAGCCCCCTCCCCACCCAAAGAGCAAAGGGCATCAAGGCGCCCCCGAGCGCCCAGAGCCGGGCAGGGCGCGCGGCGCCGCCACTCACCGATGCCGAAGCCCACGATCAGGCGGCCGGCGAGCAGCGTCTCCTTGGAGGCGGCGGCGGCCAGCACGGCCGAGCCCGCGGCGAAGAGCGCGCTGGCCAGCAGGATGGCGGCGCGGCGGCCGCAGGCGCCGTTGAGGGCCCCGCCGGCCAGCGCCGCGACGGCGGCCGCCCCCACCGTGCTGGACACCAGCAGCTCCTGCCACAGCGCGTCCAGGCGCAGCCGCCGCTTGAGCAGCAGCATGGCCCCCGACACCACGCCCGTGTCGTAGCCGAACAGGAAGCCGCCGAGCGCCGAGAAGGCGGCCACCACGTACACGAAGCCGGGGGTCTCGCCCTGCTGGAACTGGCGCCGCGCCGCGCGCTCCAGCTCCGCCGCGCCGCCCGCGCCCGCGCTCTGCAGGCTGGCGCTCGACTCGGCGGCCGCCAGGAGGCTGCGCTCGCCGGCCGGGCTGGCCGCGCCGGGCTCGGGCTGCCGGCGGCGCCGCTCGCCCATCAGGCTGCTCAGGCTGCGCAGCGTGTACTCCACATTCTCGCTCGCCGCGCGGGACATGGGGCAGGCGCCCGGCGGGCTGCTCCCGCTCGGCCCGCGGCGCCCCGGGGACAAAGTTGCGGCCGGCCGCGGCGTCCACGCTCTGCCGAGCTGGCGCTGCGGAGCGGCGGGGGCGGGGCGCGGTCACGTGCGGCCTGGGGGTGGGGCCGGGCGCTCCTCCCACCCACCCGATGGCGGGGCGTGGCCTCGCCGCGACTCTCCGCCCTCTGTGGGCGTGGCCCTGGGTGCCCCGCCCTCCGGGGGGTGCTGAGGTGCAGCGCCTGAGGGGCGGCCCGCGGGAGACCGCGGCGCGGCCGTGGGGCTGCCTGTGCCGCGCCCGACACCGCCCTCGCGCGGCCGCTTCCCGGGGCGAGGGAGCGCCTCCCCTCAGGCCGCGGGCGCCGGCTCGCCGCAGGTGCGGTCCGGCGCCGGGTGCAGAGGGGCGCGCCGGACGCCCCGCGCCGCCTGGGAATCCACGCGAGGGTGCGCGTGGCCGCGCGGTGCGGGCTTTTCCGCCTCGGTGTGCGAATCCCGTGGGTCGTTGTAGTCCCGCCGCCGCGGGTTTGCCTCCCGAGGGCGCGAGGTAAGGGAAGCGTCCAGTGCAAGCCCTTCTTTCCCTTGTTTGAGCCGAAGGGCGCTGCTCCCCCGGGGGCCCCTCTTCCTGCGGTGGACAACTTCCATCCTTTTAGGGAAAACGGTGTTTGTCCATAGAAAGTTGAGCGTTGAGGGCCGCCTCTCGTTTGCGCCATCACTCACGATTATCTGCACAACATACGGCAGGATGCAAAGACGAACGGCTGAGCTGAGCGAGGACTCACGGGGCGTCCCGGGATCCGTTCCACGGAACGCGCCCCGGAGCGGGCACCCGCGGCGACTCCGGCCTCGGCAGGGCTCAGGTGAGAGCGCGCCGGATCCTGCCCGCCGTGGTGGACTTGCGCCCCCTGCTGGTGAGCGGCTCCATGGGCCTTGCAGAGAGGACGCCGCTGCAGTTTGGTTTTTTTATTTATTTATTTGAAAGTCAGGAGGGGTGGGGGCGAGAGAGGAGAGAGAGAGTCTTCCATCCTCTGGTTCACTCCCCAAATGGCTGCAACAGCCAGGACGGGGCTAGGCCGAAGCCAGGAGCCAGGAGCTTCTTCTGAGTCTCCCAAGTTGGTGCAGGGTCCCATGCTCTGGGGTTTTCCTCTGGTGCTTTCCTGGACACATTAGCAAGGAGCTGGATCAGAAGTGGAGCAGCCAGGACTGGAACGGGCGCCCAGCGAGGAGGCGGCCGCTTAACCCCTTACGCCACAATGCTGGCCACACAAGCTGAGTTGTAACCCTAGCTGGGGTGGTGAACCCCTGTGTGCCTTGAGCGTGCTTTGCTGAAATGCAGGTTTTGGGTCCCAAGGCGCAAAAATACTTCAAAAGGTTCCGTCCTGTATCAGGACACGTCCAGAGCTGTGGTCAGAGTACATCTGGAAAGAAATGTGGCATGAAAAGGAGGTGAACAGTGGAGGGAACCACGTTGGCTTTAGCACCAGAGCAGGGAGTCCGCTTCAGCTGCAGGTCTTGGGGACTGGAAAAGCGGGGCGTGAGAAGCCGTGGATTAGAGCCCCACCACCACCGCTCACTGCGGAGTGTCTGCCAAGGGTCTCAGGTGTTCCTTGTCGGAGCCGGTCGTGGTGCAGTGGCTGCTGCAAGCATGGGGACCATTTTTTCTATTAAGGGTTAACTGGATGTTTGTAACCTCATTCACAGGCCGCAGGAAACGATGACCTTAAATACTAGCCTGCTATAAGCTTACTGAGTTTTGAGTCTCACGTGCCACGGCTTGGGCGGGGCCAGACGTCTCCTGCGAATGTGTAAAGTACTTTTACAGTCTCATTGCTGGCTGTTGCGTGGTAATAAGCCTCAGATTGGTTCTCCTGGTGCTTTTCCACCACAGAAGAGAGAAAGAGAGGTTTTTTCTATATGGCGGCACAGCCTGGTTTTCAAGCAGGGATGCGGGTAATTTGGTAATCATTCCAGTTCTGACCTTGCGAGTGGATGGTAGCAGAGTGGATTCTTTGTTTCTTGGTTATTTATTTTTAATTACATGACTGATGCATCCTTGTATGTAATCAAGCAGTGTAACAAGAAAGAGAACATAAAGTTCCCTTCCCAATCACTTTTTTTTTAAAGATTTATTTGTTCACTTCAAAGAGTGAGAGAGAGACTTACATTGCTGCTTAACTCCCCAAATGGTGAGAAGAGCTAGAGTTTCACCAGGCCAAAACTAGGACTCAGGAGCTTCTTCCATGTCTCCCACTTAGAGGGCAAGGAACCGAAACACTTGGGCCCTCTTTTTTTTTTTTTCAGTTTTTTTCTTTGTTTTATTGAGAGGTAAAGTTACCAACAGAGACAGAGAGAAAGGTCTTCCATCTGCTGGTTCACTCCCCACATGGATGCAATAATGGCTGGAGTTGAGCCAATCAGAAGGCAGGAGCCAGGAGCTTCTTCAGGGTCTCTCACATGGAGCAGGGGCCCAGCACTTGGGCCATCATCTCCTGCTTTTCCAGGCCACAGCAGAGAGCTGGATTGGAAAAGGAGCAGCCGGGACAGGAACTGGCACCCATATGGGATTCCAGCGGTTTAGCCTACTACATCACAGCACCAGCTCTCCCCCACCACCACCTTTGGCCATGTTTTGATGCTTTCCCAGGCTATTAACAGGGAGCTGGATTGGAAGGGTTAGGGTTGGGTTAGGGTTAGGGTTAGGGTTAGGGTTAGCAGCCAGTACTTGAATCAGAACCCGTACTGGATACCCAGCATCACAGACAGCAGCTTTACCCACTAAGCCACAATGTCACCCCCAGTCAGTCACCTTTCTTAACTCTACAGGCCCCTTTCTGCAGAGATAATCACTTTCAAATGTATCTTTCCAGAACTTTATACATTTATGTGTATACAAGATGTCTTCAAATAGTTTTTGGAAAATGCATAATATGAAAGAAGTATACATGGATTTCAAAATCATTTTGCAGTGCAATAATCATCTATACTATTCTGTACTATGAGAGGCTAAGACAGTGAAAGAGTGACAGTGAGTTAGCGCATGCACGCATGCAGGAAGCAGGTCTTATACCTCTGCAGGGGCAGGGAGGTAGGAGCAGTGAATCCAATTAGGTTGGGGGGGTGGAGCTGACACCTGTGGTTTGGTCATCTGTAGCAATGGTGTTGGGGGCCAGAGTCCAGGAGGGTGGCCAGGGCATAGATCGCCCCACAGACAAGACTGTGCCATTTTACTAACAGTCCTCCCTTTTGTTTTTCATAAAGCAAGTGTTCCATGGGATTACATCAGCTCTAAAAGTCCAGGAGGGAGTGGAGGGACGATGATCTGTCTTGAGAGCTACTTCCTGCTGACAGGGCAATAGGTTACTCTCCTCTGGTATCAGGCGATGTCTCAAGCCGCAAACTCCTGGGTGGGGAGCCGAGTATATCCCTGTAGCAGCATTTGGTTGACCGCCTGGCTACTGAAGACTTTGACTAATTCTGTTACCACCTCCTGTAAACACTTACACTGATAAGATAGTATAAAAGCCAGGGTTAGAATAGCAGCCAACGGTCCTAGTAGTGGCATTAACCAAGTATTGAGAGGATTTTATAGAGGAGAGGAAATGACCCTACTGAGGACTGTTAGATGAATGTGATTTGAAGTGATCCCAACCAAGACTGGGAGAAAGGCCACTCATTTTTTGTGGGTAGAGGGGTTTTGTAGAGAAAATCCTGAACAATCATAAAACATCAAGTTGGGGAGAGGACCATCAATACACAGGGGTTGGGAGTTGAGCCATTTATGTTTGAGTAGAGGCTATGTTTACAAAGGGATGAGGCCCCGAGTGGGCTAGACAGTGTCTAGAATAAAGGACAGAGTTGTTATTAGAGGACCTAAGAAAGCTGGTGTCTAAATCACTACCAAGTTTTCTGATTGAGAGGCAAATAGAAACCGACAAAAGGGGCCTGATAATAATCAGGTGGGTTTAAGGCCTTGCCAGTTAGGAGGCCCAGACCTATCTTTTCACATGGCATACATCCTAAGGGAGGTGTGAACCTCCTTGGGGAAGATACACTCTATTGACTTCCATTACCTAGCTGGCCTGGGAGAAGAGCTGGACAGGAAAAAGCACTTGGCGTCTCTAACAGGAAATCTACAGCTATGCCTGCAGTGTTGCTGACCCTACCTGACCGACCCCTCAGCAGTGGTGGTTTCTTTTAAACCTGGGCCGAGTGAAGGTTAGAGCTAAAAAGATCTGTGGCTCTGACCGGAAGTTCTTCAACTCCAGGGCAGTTCCATTTCCTGTGACCCAACTCTTGGCTGGCAGAGCTGCCTGGGCTCTTCATAAGCTGACTCCTGCTGAAGCCCTGGCTTTCCATACGGAAAGCCACTGCAGTGGACTGGCCTGTTGGCTCTCCTTGATGGCAGATCACTGTATAGAGCAGCCATTAATTGACCTGCTACGTATCTTTACATCGCTTCTGCTGCCTAGCAGTCTCTTCCGCCGGGTTTTTATTAAAGCAGTTAGGCTGTTGTCTCTGAAAAGTCTGTAATAGACTGGCTTTGAGAGCAGGTGAAACCAAGACATTTCTCTCCACTTTATTTCTTGCTGCCTGTGCTCCATTCTCACACTCTGTGTGCTCAGAGTGGCCACAGTGGGCTGCAAGCTCTGCATCTTTTTCCATTCACCTCTGAGGACGTGGAACAAGGACCTCTCTCTGAAGTCCTGGCAAACTTGTATCTAATTTGATCTTGATCCGATTCCTGTGGCTGAGAAATCACAGGTTGATGATCAGATTGGGGCCAATCAGTGTCCACATCCTGAGCTGTGAGTGCAGGTGGGTCACAGAAGCTGACCTTGTAGGGGCAATTATATGAAAAATGTGATGTACTGTTTTGCCAGACTCTGGCAAATAAATGTAGCAATGAAACAGACTTGAGTTACTGTAAGTAACTAGGAAAGTAACTTGGTATAAAAGCCAAGTAAAGCATTTCAAGAAGTAGGGACTGGTTAAGATATTCTGTTATGCAGAAATCAAAGAAAATGAAAATGTATGGGAAATCATGGAATCTGAGTACTGGAAAGTCATTAGATGGGGATCAGTGAGGATCACACCATTGTTTT